CATACGCGGTATCAAATGAGGTAATATTTGATATTATCTTTACTGCATGTCTGTCTTGGTTGTTTGAATTATCTTTTATCTACACCCTGTGTATAAAATGTTTTAACATTCGGTCTGTATTTCCTCTTAATGTTTGTACCTCGGTAATAATTTTTTATGATTATTCTGCGACATCTTTAATGGATACGTGAGATAATTTCGACTTAAAGATCAAAGAATATTGTACAAATTTGACTTGTAAATGAAATGCTCGTAACATATAATTTTATGAGGTACAAGTAAAATCATGGAATCTAATACGTAAACCTGAAATACTTTGATCCCTTCTTGCCGGTAATTTGACACAGACATCTGATTATGCTCGAACATGTTTTACACACGAACTTCTTTGCAGCCATTTTCAACATGAAAATGTAAGCACATTTTATTTTTATTACTACGAGTTTTTGCGGTAAGTTTGCTGTTTTGTTACGTTTTTCTTTTCTTTTAAAGGAATGGTTCAGAAAGGAACCCTAGGGTACTGACGTTCGATTTTATGTGACAAATTTACGGTGATACCTTTTTGGCTCTACAAATAAACTGTAATGCTAATTACGTTATTTTGTAATATATAGCTCGGCGTATGAAACACTAAACATATTTTAGTAACTGCTAGTCCGCAAGGGACTGCATTCATGTTTGCTCATTTACTTCGATTCTAATCTCGGAACGCACCGGAGAGTGGATAAGCGTCAAAGGACACAATCATGTGGGCATAGCGGCTATGCATCCTTTAGATAATACAAATATTCGTGTAACGTACATGGACGAATTCAATCACATATTTCATAAGTTCTTAACGAGACACGGCTTACGAAAAAGATATAGGAGCAAGATCAGTTGCAAATACCGTGGCTAGCGATTACGGAATACGATAAAACTCGAAACTCAAGTAAGCGTGAGCATATGCCACGCAACAAAGGTATGCCTTACACGTAATACTTCCAACCACATTCACATAATGGTGAAATAAGAGATTTTTTATCATAATGTTGTGCTTCACGTTTACGTTGGCACAAATATATTTACGTTGCTAATTTAATTGGAAGTATTACAGTCGCTGACGAAGAACTTAGTAGCATCCTCTTCCCGTGTCAAACAGTTATTTTTGTATTATTTTTTAAAATTTTATTGTGGATAAACCACTTTACAAGTTTGATGTGGAAAGGCTTTCAAACAATACCAATACCAACTGGAATATTTTTAGACTATAACTCAAAAAGTATCAAGGTACTTGCATATTAATTCAACTTAACCCATTATGTACGTGAAATGAAATCTTCTCTGGGAACCACAATGACATGAATTTTAGGCTTCGCACAATGGTATGAGAGGAAGGGAGAGGTGTGTGGACGGTAGAGGAGGGAGGCGTGAGCTTAGGATTAACTTTTATGAGAATTATGATAGCGTGAATTGATCTTTAGAGAGGTGTGATTTGATTCTAGTGGGACCACAGCTATATATTACCAAATTGTTGAGTCTAGCACCGGGAACCAGATTTAAGTTGGTGTAGAATTATTTTGTTAGAGATGATATATGCTGGGCGATAGTCTCGATGTTTCATTCTTTATGAACCTGTCAATTGAAGATATACCAAGGGGCGTTAATCGACGAGGGTTTTACTTTGAAATACATTAATTCCTTTCAAGTTTGTTTTGCGCAGTATCTCCCCAGCATTGGTCAGTGATGGTCTCAATGCAGTTTTATAAAGATGCAGAGTAATGTCAGATTGAGGAGTCGAATTACGGTTTATTAGTGATGTAATTTAAAGAGTGCAGCCAACTTTATGTATCGTTGATGGATGATGTGGAGATTTCACGTAAGATGGGTGTCCGACATTGTTCCGAGATATTTCGAAACAGTTTTGAAATATCCATTTTGCGCCTGCGCAGGAGAGCGGCGAGCGCAACGTGGGCGGCGGACGCGGCGACAGCCCGGTGTTCTCGTAGCGGCCCCGGCCCGCTCCACACGACCACCCACCACAACCACCACCACCACGACCACCACGACACCCGCGCCCACCCCGCGGCGCGTCTTCCGCCGCAACGGCGGCGGGCGCGCGCGGCATCCGCGGCCGCGGCGCCAGACCACCCCGCCCCCCGCGCCCCGCCCGCCGAGGAGCCGCGCCCCCGCCGCCCCCAAGGACGCAGGGCCAGGGCCGCCACGCTAACACCACCATCGACCGCAGCCGCAGCGCCGCCGCCGCGGAGGCCGGCCGCCGCCCCGCGAACGCCGTCAACGAGGTGCTCCCCGCGCTGCGCCCCTCCGGAGGGAAGGTCAGTCGCACCACACTTCACACGCACAGGGACAGCTTATTTGATTAGTTTATTGATTAGTTTATCGATTAGTTTTATTGGTTATTATGATGTTTAGTTTTATTGCATTGGTTTAGTTTATTGATTGGTTTAGTTTATTGATTGGTTTAGTTTATTGATTGGTTTAGTTTATTGATTGGCTTTGTTTAGGTTTATTATTGTGTTTAGTTTATTGAATTGGTTTAGTTTATTGATTGTTAGTTATTGATTTAGTTTATTGATTGGTTTAGTTTATTGATTGGGTTTAGTTTTATTGATTGGTTTAGTTTATTGGATTGGTTTAGTTTATTGATTGGTTTAGTTTATTGATTGGTTTAGTTTTATTGATGTGGTTTAGGTTATTGATTGAGTTGTAGTTAGGGTTATGATTTGTAGTTATTTCGGTTTAGTTTATGATTGGTTTAGTTTATGGAGTGTTATTGATGTTTTAGTTTTATTGATTGGTTTAGTTTATTGATTAGGTTTAAGTTTATTGATGGGTTTAGTTTATTGATTGGTTTTTATGGATGGTTTAGTTTATTATTTATTTCACCATATAGTTGATGGGGTATATGTTGTTTAGTCCAGATTTCCAAAGCTCGAATTTTTCAATCCCAGCTTCCTTTGAAGCCTTACTCCCTTTGCTTGTCTAGAAAATCTTTCGACAGAACGAGCGCGATCGTGGGCGTCGCTTGTAGCGCACCTGCTGTGACTCTCACTTTTTCTCGGGGGGGGGGGCCGGTGCCAGATGTACTACGTCGGTGGTATAATATCCGAAACTTGTCTGTGTTTTGGTGGTACCATGAGATCTCGTTAGGACGGGATTAAAAGTTGGCACCTATTCGCATTGCTAGAGTTGGCAACACGTGTCTGCCAGTTGTAAGCCCGCTGTTCAGCTCTTTCTCATAGTCCGATGTGTCATAGCGAGCAATTCGTTTCCCTCCAAATAGCGCGAAATCCTTAACAAATGATATGAGATTGGACCTCCTTGCGCGAAAACTTAAACTATGCGATGGACAGAATCCTGAGCGAAATTGCGTCCCACTACAATTAGACCGTTGTTGACTAATAGTTTCATCGGCTCAGCGGGCCCTCTCCGCTGTGGTGGGAGGATTTAAATCCTGTGTATGCATAGCTTTATCATTTCATAATTGTCACTCTTGGGAAGTCCAAGTAACAGTACCGTACGTTTGGTCGCCTATCGTTTCTAATTAGGAAGATGCCTTTATCAAACAGAATAGTAAATACAACTCCTTGAGGAGTACTGGTGTTATTCTTAATGAAGCACTTTTAGCATTTTTATAATTCACTGATATTGTTATATTCTTTGGTTTTAAATTACAAGATAGGTATTTTTTCGGTGTCTTTAGACATGCACCATCGTTTCGGGCGATTAAAAACCAGAATCATCTAAGTCGAGTAGTCGATACCTTGAACTTGGCATGCAACGGAATGCGATCATTGAGGTTAGCATTCAACAGATAGTTAACTGTTAAATACTATTAAAAATGTTTAGCAAAAAACGATAAAATTGAATAAGTCTAGCTACTATTTGAAGGTTTTCAACTCAATTATTGATTAATTTCAGATGATGTTCTTCTTTCATTAGACCGTTAGATCTGGAGCATTCGCCTCCTGAATAAAGCACTAATATGGTGTCATCATTGATTGAGAGGACCGTTGACACTGATCTATTGGAGATCTGTCATTATTATTTTATTATTATTATTATTATTATTATTATTATTATTATTATTATTATTATTATTACGTATGACTGTCTTGAAGGTTCCCTTACAATTAATTAAATAAAGTTTAGAAGTGACTGTAGAGAACGCATCCTTAAACGGAGCAGGAAAGCAACACTTGATTGTCAATTGTTCCAAGGTTCCTTAAGAAGTTTGATCACGTCACGTTCCACGAAAACTTTTGTAATGAAGAATAAAAGCTAATAACATATGGAATTTGATTTTTCCTGCTCTCTTTCCAAATGCTGATGAGTACTCAACGGTCATTTACTCAACATGTTTTATGAGTATTATTTTTATTTGTATAATTAGGTATTATATTACCAATTTAAGATATTGTTTTAACTTATTTAGAGACTGGGGGCTACATATTACCTGCATACCTTCCTATTGGCTTATTTACATCCTATTCGCTTCCAAGTCAACAAATTCCGCGTGGTGCGCATTAAGCTGGACCCTCCGCGAGCACGGAAGCTCTCAACGGAGCGTGGCGTGTGTGTTGTGCAGCAGGTCCGCGCGCGGCCATTCGCAGCGGCGGCGTCGTCCGCTGAGGGCGCCCGGCCCCCAGCCGCCGCGCCGTCCTCCGGAAGAGCGCCTGCCCGCCTCCACGCGCTTTCCCGAGCGCGCTCCACGCCCGCCCGCTTCGCCGCCGCCCGAGGCCGCCGCCCCCGCGCAGCGCGCCGGCGTGCGCCGACCGTCGCTCGGGTAGGCAAGAAGGAGAAAAAAGAAAGAAAGCTGGTGGACTCGCCCAGCTCCGCACCAGCGCCAGCGACGGCGCGCGCGAGCAGGACACCCGCCGGCGCCGCCTTCCCTCCGCCTGCCCGCAGGGACGGCGCCCCCCCCCCCCGCGGACACGCGCGCGGCGCGGGCCCCACGCATGCACGAATCCAGGACGCCCACCCATCAATGCTCTAATGCATTACAGCACACCGCTTCATCCAAGTACACCAATCTGCTTTTACACCACGCTCACACTTCATCAATACACCAATGCATTCTGCCACACACACACACGCGCCACCACTCATCATACACCAATGTCAATTTAGACACGCGCTTCAATCCAATACACCAAATGATTTTAGACACACACTTCATGCAAATACCCATTGTATTAGACACACACTTCATCAAAATTATACACCATTGTATTTAGACACACAACTTCATCAATACACCAATGGATATATTTAGACACACACACACACACGCTTCATCATACATCAATGTATTTAGAACACACACACACACACTTTGTTATTACGTGTCTTCATAGGAAACAATACATCAATGTATTAGACACACACTTCATCAATACACTAATACATTTTATTTCTCGACATACCCACGCATCCAAAACACGCCATGCATCCACTTTTCGACTTCATCCACGCGCCCAACTCACCACACATCCCAGGCACCCACGCAATTATGTCAATATACGCAACGTATTGACACTCGCACACCACTTCATCTGCACACCATATATTCACCAATCCCCTTTGTATACTTAACATATCTACAACTCATGCATAACACGCCCTTTTTAGGGCAATACCCAAACACATTCAAACAGACCACATGTGTGTACCCAACGCATCCAATCACCCAGCATAAATACACGAACGCATTCACACATTACCAGCATCAATACATGCACTAGTGTATACAACATAACAAATAATACTTTATTGTGAACCCAGAATTAAAAGTCTAGACAAACTTTCTCAATCATAGCCTCAAATCACGCAATCCAGATGCAAAAGCATTGCTTACACACATCAGCACTTCTCCAAGATCTAGACTAGCCTCCTACATCACAACATTTACATTCTCATTCACATTTACATTTGCCATTCTGCCACCCCTCTCTCTTGTAATACTTAAAATCAACACCTTTCACTCTCCCTACAACATGAAAATTTGAAGATAAATATGACCACGTGTGAGTAAACAATCAACATTTCACAACCAAAACGGAAAAGAAAGTGACTTTTCAATTAACAAATTCTAAAAACAGGAATTCATATTCAGTAATAAAAAATAAAAAAGTAAATAAACAAAATATAAATAAACGTTGAATTTCAACAAAAGATTGTTACATCAGTACTCTTTAATTGTAGAAGAAATTAAAACAAAAAAAATGTCCTTATAACTAACAAGTATTCCGCCGACGTGAATGGATAAACTATTCGTCCTTCCTCTAAAAATGAATTCATTTCAAACGATATTTAAAAAAAATAATAAACTAGTTATGGAAATTGACGACCTCTCGCTAAAAAGATTGTTTACTCCCAAAATACATTTTTTTACAGTGTACTATAATGTTTGGTGTCGGTAGTCCACGCAGTGTGAAAGTTAAATTTACGGTCGAAAATATAGCGCACTGTCACTGTGGATCTTCCTGTAAGCCACTTAAACCAAATGTTCACTTCCTTCCTCTCGAAAGCATTTCCATGTTGGTCACCATGTTCTACACCCGAATACCAACCTCTTCCCCGCCTCCCCAGCACGTGCTTGTAACCTTCACCTGTTCACGTCACGCGTGCGCAGGTCCCGTGCGCTTCCTGGGCGTTGGGACGCTCTGAAGAGAGCCCCGAAGCAGCCGGCACCTGTCCAGCCACCGCACCCGCGGGCGCGCCGCCCCCTCCGCCGCCGCCCGCCGCCGCCACCACCACGGCCCCCGAGAGCACCGCGCCCACCACCCCCGCCCCCGAGGCGCCGGCGTTCCCGCCGCGGCCCCGCGCCACCGCGCCCCCGCGTTTGAAGACCACCGCACCTGTTGTTCGGTAATTCAACATACCCCCCCCTTACTTACTAACAATAGAAGAAACGTAAGAAGCAGCAACACATCAAAACGGATTAACACAAAATTCAAACTCAAAGACGTTTACAAAATACAAAAGGGAAATATCGAAGACAAAATTCTCTTGCAATATCTATCCATCTATTATTAAAATGTTTTTTATAGCATCAACTTTATAGTTTCTGAACGTACATAAAAGGAAAGGCCAATTCAAAGCATTTTTTGAATAAAGGAGAAAATATATTTACAATTGAAAATACGAGGACATTACTACTGGAAAATGAACGATATGTGATACTTATATGTGAAAATGAACGATATGTGATCTTAAAAGTAGATGAACAATTCGCATCCAAGTAAATTAATATGATTTGTGGACTTAAACATTTTGACATCTTGCTTTCAGAAAAGTTACAATCTCACATAATATGTAATATGATAAAAAATAACAATTTCTCGGTGGGTGTTTAAAAAATAACATTGTGTCATTTAAGTTCAAACACGGAAAACTCATTTTCTAGTTTCAAGGTTATGTAGTTATGGAGAATTAAAATTATTATTAAAACGTTTTTTACACCTTGTAATTGCTGGTAACTGCTATAATAATTGGCAACTGATGAATAACGCATAAATTAAGTTTAGCTTGCATTAATAAAAAAGTGTAATTTTATCGTAAAGCTTACTATCTTCATGGTTTTAGCATAGAAGTCAAGTTAAATTGATAGGTTTTTTTTCGCCCATCGATAATATGTGACTTACCTGCAAAGTAATCATTAAGAGTCCTAAAATTACACAAAACAACGTGACATTCAAATTATAATTTCTAGTATAATTTTAGAACATTTTTTAAGTGTTGTTTAGTGTGGCCTAGTTCTGACAAAATATCGTGGTGATGAAGCGCAGTTAACTTATTATTTCTCTAAACTTAAATATTGTTTCTAGTTAATATTGACAGTTTTTGACGTGCACGGAACAAAACAGAATCTGTCTATTAGCAATAAATTTCATTTCGCATGTTTGCAACATACAATCTTCTTTATCATACAATAGTCTTCGTGCTTCCAAGGAACTTCAAGAATTGTTAAATTGCATGTGTTGTAAGGAGGGACGTGATATTCTTGGACTCGGAAGCCTTTCGTTCGGTCAAGAATCTAAATGATTCTATTGGTGGATGATCTTGTTCCAATGGTCTAAATCAAATAAAATCTTTTAATTAGCCATACATTTATTTTCTGTATATCACAATATATATGTTCAAAGTAAAATTCTACACAACCTCAATAACTCAAATATTTATATGTATTTTTTCTTTGTACCGTAATCTTCCTTACGCCGTTTAAAAAACAATCACTCAAACCTAATTTTTTCGAAAATTTTGATAACATCATTAAAAACTCTTGTGATTCGAGGTGGCATTTGTCTCTTCCAAAATTTCTCACGCAGTTAGAATCTTTAATAGCTGAAACTTGCAGTTACGTGTAACAAATCGGTGCAAATAATGTGCAAACCGCATCGGTTGAAATGCGGGACGCGTTTACATGGGTTTTTCCAGGGCCTTGCAGCTCTCCATCAAAACAGGGGACAAAGTTCGAAGGTGCTAGTCTAGGAGGCGCTAGTGTCGCCAGGTACAGCTGCAGATTAGGCTCGCCAACTTCCGCACATAAATATTGGCTAATTTGAGAGAAGAAGGAAAAGTGAATTTAAATGTTCAACTATTTATAATATTCACATATAAGAAACCCCTGAAGAAAGAACATCGGCGCTATCTTTTGTAACATTACGAACCTCCTTGCGACCCGCGAACTCCCGCGGCAGCCACGCACGTTTAAAGATTCGTCAGTAGCAGTTCGTATTTTAGTTCCTGCAAGAAAGTGATGCAGCAGAGCGCGCCACCGTAATGGTTTCCACCCCGTTCTATGGGAGTTATAAGGCGCTGGGTTTTTCGCCGGGCGAAAGGATCCCGAGTGGCGCGTCGATGTGGCAACGCCGCGCCCCGCGGCGCCGCCTGCCAGCCAGTCGCCCGAAAGGGAAAGTCGGCGGGCGTGGAGGAGATGGCCCTCGATAGGCGACTGCAGGAAAGTGGTCTGCGTTTATTCAGAGCGCTTGAAGGGGCGTAAACACACGAGAGAGGGTGGGGGGCGAAAAAAACACTTCCCCCGGGGGAGAAGGGCCCGAGTGGTTGTTAAATGAAGCCTCGTCCACCGGAAGGTTTGAGGTTCGAGTCTCGACAGATGCGAGATTTTAACTAAAAAGCAGGTTCGGATGTTGCCACTACCTAAAAGAGAATTATAGGAGCCGGATGCACTGTTTGTTTTAATGGCTTACTCTCATCAACTTGAAGCGAATGACGAAGCAGCTTGTAGTTTAACAAATTACAGACGGTGCGAAGTCCTTTTTATCCCAAAGCATCCTCACTCCCATCTTAGGTGTCACGCTACAGGATGATCTTCCATCCCCTTTTCAAATATCCTCAATAATCTTGAAAGACGTGAGTAGTACTGCGACTACAAAAATGTCAGGCCATGGCCCGAACTGTTATGAAGCGCCAAGGAGATGAAGTCGGAAAAGAAGCTTCTTTCGAACCAGTTCTTTTTACATAATCCGAAATAAATTGACGTTTCTTGTGAAAACGGCTTGAAAACGTCACTGCGATACCTCTCTCTCAACCCACAAAGCTCATCATTTACATGCCACGGATCATTTTCATTTTCTTCTGTTTTGTTAATGGACACGAATCATCTAAACATTAATATATGAAGGGCTTTAATATATGAAGTCTCTCCATGCGATATCGAATTCATTATGAGAAATAAGATAAAGGTTTCAATTCACCATTCCCCAAACATTGAAAATAAGAGATGTCTCCGTAGTACGGCGCCATATGTTATTTCATCACAACAAAATTCACTCAAAATGTAATAATCGATGTGGGGAATGTGTTATTGGTGTTATATTTTTTTAAATGTGCCATTGAACTATCTAGATATGAAATATTTATATGTTATTTGTACGTGTGCAGTATAACACGGCGTTTTATTATCAAATTTGATTACCTACATAACTACGTGCACCCTCCGTACACAAGATTTGAAGTGTGTGTGCACATTACTGAAAATAACAGCATATTAAATAAAGAGCGGAAATATAAATACAGTAGCAATGCTATTCTTTTGAACCAAAAATAAATTAAGGGTTTGGATTACAACTGTTCTTTCAATTCAAATAATTCCTGAATTTAATATGACTTCAACAATATATTCACAATTCTTTGTTAAAGTATTTCGCCACACAAAATCAGAGAAAGTGTGCCATAGGAGCTATTGCAGTCACCGCTATACAAAGTGCAGTGTGTTTCTCCTAAACAACGAAACAGAAAAAAGTGGATAAGAATGCAAGACGCAGCTGTTGCTTACGCGGAACCATGCAAATGACGATGCAAATATGTTTCGCACACAATACGGAGCGATGCAATTCGTTAACAAAAGCCCGGCGGTACATCCAGCATTCCGTAATTGCAGTTTGTAGACTTTCGGGCAATGGTCAGATAACAAAGTCGGATTCTCAAACATGGTGCAATTTTCCAAGTTTTTTATTTCTTTAACAATGAGATATTTTTATTTGCCGTCAATTTATGTTATATTTTCCTAATATTAGTATTTCATTAACAATTATTTATCACAAAACTGTTACTATCAATTACTCGTTCACTGACTTATGAAATCGTATTTGAAAATTCGAAAAATAGCTTCTGAACGGTTGTTTAAATCTCGTAATCATTAAATATTTTTATCATATAATATTGGAATATTTACAAGATTTATAACCCACAATTAATAAAATCTAAGATGGTTTTATGAAAGACTCCTTTATATTTTCCTTTCTGATTCACGAATGAATTGTGAGATTCCGTGAAAAGATCGAACTAAAGAAGTAGGAGCAAAGATAATGATGTGAATTCTTCTATAGCGACTTTTTATGAAAGTACACTTTCATTTACACCTAAATACTTGGGTACCAATTCTAAGATTTATAGCGCAGCACCTCACTACTTATTTCCTTATGTAACGTGTGAGGTGAGGCTACCAAACGCACAGGAGTGTCATGCGGAATGCCTACGACAGGCGCATTAGGAGCTGTTCACGCCATTCGGTATCAGGCTGCCTAACTTGTTCGTTAATTTAATAAATCCATGGTATTAATTAATGCAAAAATCATAGAATCGGTAAACAAATAGTCGTAGTAAACGCAATAGAAATCATAAAATATTTGCATAGTTATTCAAACTATGCACAAATACTTTAACTCAGTAATTCTGTTCCTGTAACTTCATGAAGTGGGTCACCTCGGAAGTAACCTAAATTATATGACTTTTGGGGTTAAAAACGTGCAAACGTGCGAACATATTTCTTTTCTTCAATTAATTCTGTGTAGAAAAGTGGATGTTTAATGGGAAAATTATTTTAGTGCATCAGGTTTCCAAATTTATTAACAGAATTTGCCATTCTCTTTTCATCTCAAGCCAGTACTTTGAAACTGAGGCATTTGGTTCTAATCCTTACAGGCTGGCAAGTTAGATTACAGAATTTAGTTCTTGTAATGGAAACATACGAGAGACGGAACATGATACTAGATGGAACATACTAATTTGGTGATACTGAAATAGTAAGGAATAATATTTATATGAAAAAAACTCTCTTGCCGAAGTACATATCGTTATTGCTGTTACTTCGGATCGTGTTGTTGCGATTGAAATAGTGGAGTATAAAATAGTGTCACGTGGTTTATTTTTTTAAAGTGTGAGACTCAATGATTTGCAAGCCGACGTGTAGGCCCGATACACGGAAGAACACTGCCACCGCCCGAACACAATCACTCGCGGGACCGTAGCAGTTGACGTTTCGGGCAACACGATATGGTCCATGAATGCGACTGATGAGTTTGCGTTGCGTGGCGCGCAGAGACCGAAGACCTGGGCCTGGTGACGGGCGGCGCGACGGAGCGCGCCGTGGCGACGGCCGCCGAGGAGACGGCGCCTGGCGACGAGGCGACGACGGAGGTGGCGGGCGCCACGACGCTGGCCGACGGCGGCCCCACGCTGGCCGCCGTGGGCGACAAGGGCGCCTACGACCTCTACGCCATCCTGCGCCAGGGCCAGGCCGAGGCCAACCTCGTGGACGGCGCCACCGACAGCGCCTCCGAGGGCGACGACGAGGTACGGTTTTCTTCTTTTTCTGTCTCTTACATTCCCTTCTTCTTACGTTTCTCTTTATTTTTTTCTCCATTACTTTCTTTTTCTCCATATTCTTCCCTTTTTTTCTTTTTCTCCTTACTTTTTTTTCTCTTACTCTTCTTTTTTTTCCTCTACTTTTCTTCTTTCTTCCTCTACTTTTCTTTTTCTCCAACTTTTCTTTTCTTCTCCATACTTTTCTTTTTCTCCATATTTTCTTTTTTCTCATAACTTTTCTTTTTTCCATACTTTCTTCTTTCTCCATACTTTTCTTTTTCCTCATCATTTTCTTTTTATTCCATACTTTTTCTTTTCTCATACCACTTTCTTTTCTTACCTCTTTCTCTTTTCCAAATACTTTTTCTTCTTGTCTCATCCACTTTTCTTTTCTCCACTACTTTTCTTCTTTTTCTGCCATACTTTTCTTTTTCTCCATATTTCTTTCTCTACTTTTTCTTTTCTCCATACTTTTCTATTTTTCTCCATACTTTTCTCTTTTCTGCATACTTTTCTTTTTCTCCCATACTTTTCTTATCTCCATACTTTTCTTTTCTCCATACTTTTTTCTATACTTTTCGCATTCTTCAACTTATTCTTTTTTCTCCATTACCTTTTCTTTTTCTCCATACTTCTTTTTTTTTTTTTATCTTCTTTTCCATACTTTTTTCTCTCAATACTTGTCTTTTTCTCCAAATTTCTTTTCTTCTTTCTTTTCTCATACATTTTTCTTTTTTCTCACATACTTTTCTTTTTCTCCATACTTTTCTTTTTCTCCATTATCTTTCTTCCATATTTCTTTTTCTTCTTCCTGTTCAATTTTCTTCTTCCTGTTCTATTTCATCTTCCTTTCATTTTCATCTTCTGTTTCATCTTTCATCTTCCTGTCATTTTCATCTGCCTTTCATTCTCTTCCTGCATTTCATTTCCTATTTCTTCCTGTTATTTTCATCTTCCTGTTCATTTTCATCTTCCTGTTTCATTTTCATCTTCCTGTTTCATTTTCACCTTCTATGCTTCTGTCATTCTTCTTTCTGTTCATTTCTTCTTGCTTTCATTATTTTCTTGTTTCATTTTCTCCTGTTCATTTCATCTTCCTGTTCATTTCATCTTCCCTGTTCCGATTTTCATGCTTCCTTCGTTCATTATTCATGCTTCCTGTTTTTTCATCTTCCTTCTTATGCTTCCTGTTCATTTTCATCTTCCTGTTCATTTTCATTCTTCCTGTTCATTTTCTCTTCCTGTTATTTTCATCTTCCTGTTTACTTTTCATCTTCCTGTATCTTCCTCTTATTTTCATCTTTCCTGTTCATTATTCATCTCCCTGTTCATTTCAATCTTCTGTGCACTTTCATCATTCTTCTTTCTTCTTCTTTACTCCTTTTCGCTTCCTTTTCTTTTTTTCCTTTTCTTCTTTAGGTATCTTTTTTCTTCCCGCTTTCTTATTACGTTTCTTTTTCTTCCTTTTCTTATTAGTTTCTTTTTCTCCTTTTCTTATTACGTTTTTCTTTTTTCTTCCTTTTCTTATTACGTTGCTTTTTTCTTCCTTTTCTTATTACGTTTCTTTTATCTTCCCTTTTTTATTACGTTTCTTTTCTTCCTTTCTTATTACCGTTTCTTCTATTCTCTTCTTTCCTTATTACCGTTCTTTTTCTTCCTTTTCTTATTACGTTTCTTTTTTCTTCCTTTCCTCCTTACGTTTCTTCTTCCTTTTACGCCTTCTCCTTTTATTCCTATCCCCTTTTATTCTTATTCTTCTTTTATATCCGTCTTCCGACACAATTCTTCTTCTTTTACTTATCCTCTAACTTTTTTTCCTTCTCATCCTACATTGTTTCTCCCTCTTTTTTTCCAACTTGTCCTTCTCTCGTTCTCTTTTTTTCAGTTTATTTTCTCCTCCACTCACTTATACATTCTTCGTCATCTCTTTGTCTCCCTTCTCCTACGCCTTCTTCTCCAGGTTTTTCGTCCTTTTCACCGCATACATCATCTTTTTCTTTGTCTATTCCTTGGTTCTTATATTCATTTTATTATTCTTGTTTTTTCGACATTTCTGGGCAATTCCTTGGATGTCTCTACTTCTTAAATTTCAAACTTCATCTTCCTGTCGCTCTCTCTCGACATCATCTCGAACAGAATCTCTTCTCAATTGATCGTTCAATTCTGTTTCTATATTCCATTTATCTTATCTTTTTGAATAAAACCTTCGCACTCATTCCTTATTCATTAGGAATTTTCATTTAATTCTGAAAATGAAGTTCAGAAGCATTAATGTAAATAACCCTTATATAAGATTTTTTATCTTGACATATGTGCTGAAATTTCATGTATTCTGCAAGAATTAAGAGCGGTGATAAGCCAATGGACATGATAAACACCCCTCTTCATTCCAGTGAGCCCACGGGCGAACGGAAACCACTGAACCCGCCCAACGACCACCCGGCGCCGACCACCACGACTACTGTAGCACCACAACAACACGACCACGACACCACGACGCCCCGCACCACCACACACGACCACCACGACACCAGGCGCCACGCACGGCAAGAGGCGCAAGCCCGGCGCGCCCGGCAACCCGGCGGGCGCTTCCAGGGCTTCCACCGGCCGCCGCCTCCACAACCGAGGCGCCGAGCACCTCGCCGCCGACGCGCACGCGCGGGACGCTTCGGCAGCCACAGGTGCGCATGCACGCACGCACGAGCTAGAGTGGATTGAATGAGCTAGAGTGGTGGATGAATGAGCTAGCAGTGGGATTGAATGAGCTAGAGTGGGATTGAATGAGCTTAGAGTGGGATTGAATGAGCTAGAGTGGAATGAATGAGCTAGAGTGGGATTGAATGAGCTGTAGAGTGGGATTGAATTGAGCTAGAGGGATTGAATGAGCGTAGAGTGGGATTGAATGAGCTGAGTGGATTGAATGAGCTAGAGTGGGATTGAATGAGCTAGAGTGGATTGAATGAGCTAGAGTGGGATGAATGATGCGTGAGAGTGGGATTGAATGAGCTAGAGTGGATTGAATGAGCTAGAGTGGATGAATGAGCTAGATGGGAGAATGAGTGATGAGGATGAGTGATCAATTGAGAGCTAGTGGGATGTATGCAGATGGGATGAGCTAGAGTGGGATTGAATGAGCTAGAGTTGGAGTGTGAGAAAGTGAGGGAGTGGGAGATGAACGTGTACCAGCTCATTTCCAAAGTTCTCCTAACCATCCCGCACGCTGGCGCTCTGTGCCGTAGCCGCGTGAACGGCAACGGAGGTAGCTGGCAGCAACGGCGGTAGCTCGTCCAACGGGCGTCGAGCGGCGGTCGCGCGAGCCACGACGCCGCGCCCGGCCCGACGCCGAGGAGCCGCCGGCGACGCGCGACGGATGCGCCGTCCCAGGCCAGCGGCCGCGCGCCCGTCCTTCCCCAGCAGAAGCCGCTTCGCGGCGGCGGCAGCGCAGGAGGCGCGCACGCGCGCCACCACCGCGCCCCCGCCACACGGCGCCGAGCGCAGCGGCGACGACGCGCCCGCCTCCGCCGCCCCGCGCGCCCGCGCGCGACCCGGGTCAGTCTCCACACTGTTGGTAGATAGACGTCTCCAATTCATTATAGTCAGTCGATAAAACAGGAAGATTCTCAGCATGAGATATCATTTTGCATATATGAGAACACACATTACGACATGGTTCCGTAGGCTTCCGCAGGCGGAGTCATACATTCTTGGCTATCCGGCATGAGCCGCGTCTCTGTCAATTGTGCTTGACTTTCGGCATCTTTTCTGCTTGCTATACTAGCAGTATAGCTTCGAAAGAAGGCCAAGCAAGATGGCGAAACGTCCAGCTACAATTGACCGAAAGCGCGCTTCATCGGATAGCCAGAGATGCGGCAATGCCACACACCACACACTACACACTACACACATACACCACACAGGTTGTGTGTGTGTTGTGTGTGTGTGTGTGTAGACGTTCGTACGAAAATGCGGAGGTTCAGGTGGGAGTTTCTCTAAATTTACATTAAGGTTTTGATGATACATATACAAAATAAAAATTGAGTATTAGTAATTTATCTCAATTTTTACTAAAACAATTTTATTTTCATGATTGGCAATTGGTTTCAATTTGGTTTCAGTATGGCAAATAATGTTCATTGTTGAGAATCAATGAATTTATTGATTGACTATAATTGATTTAAAACTGCCAAAACAATTAATAGTTCCAATACAATTGCATTTGAAATCTTTATTTGATCAAACAACTACATAACTAATTAAAGTATAAATTTTCAATGGAATAGATTATGGTAGAGGTGGATTATAGGCTTGATGGGGAAGAAATGAGAGGTAATTGGACGTGTGAACAGTAATATGTGTATGCGGTTGAGAGACTATAGTGGAACTGAAAAGTTTATTTGATATTTGACTGTGCCACATTGAATTGATCCAGGAGATTGCAAGTGTAGGTCGGACTGTAGATTTGGTGAAAAGCGTGGTAAGATTGTGGATTTCTCATAGGTTGGTGGACTCCATAGGATAACGGACTGTGTTATAAACATCACACCGGTGATGGAATGTGGACACTTCTGGGACGTTATAAATAGAATAAAGATGTTGGGTTTGGTTCAGACGATAATGTTGCATAAAAAGGAGATTTGTGAATGGCAATGTATTTCATACACCGACGCAAATATGTTTGTAGCATTATTTGTAGTTCAGTTCCACGCATGTCCCATATCGCAAGTTATTGATAGTGTTTAAGTCTTCATGTTAGAGCAACGTCAGTAAGAGATCCGTCCTAAGAGCCAACTCATTGAATTGAATTGGAATTGCCCTATTTTACGTGGCGAGAACTCGGGTCATCAGCCCGCTCTTCCGCTCTGACCGACGCAAATTTTCGCTTACGCTCCTTTCATCCAACTAGGAGAGAAAAGGACGGTATTTCTTGGCGAGAAACGGCATTGCAAATTTTGCTCAGAGGCGTCATTTAGGCTTGGAGGAATCTTTACATGCAAGTAAATCTACGAACATGGGAACAGCGGTTACTTTCCTCCGAGGAAGGCATACGGAGGATTTTTTTTCGCGCTTTAAAAATCCACGGCTTCCCGATCGGGTTTGAACCCGCAACTTTGGGTACAACAGTCAGTACGCTAACCGTTGTACACCATCGCCCGCAACTCATTCCGGCCGCCTCTTTCTTGCTTGCAGCTTTCTTCCCCGCCGCCGCCTGAACGCGCCCGCGCCGCCACCCGGCCGCCCCCGAGCTCGCCGGCCCGAGTGAACCCGCCGCGCCCCGCGCCGAAACTTGACACGCCGACGTCCCCGCTACACCGCGCGCGCAAGCTCCGCCCGCCCCCGCGGCGACCAAGCCTGAGGTTAGGCGTGTGCGCCAGCCAGGCTGTAGTACAGTGGGGATCCTCAGCATCAGGGGTCTATTAAGTGTGTGACATACGCCACTAAGCATTGCTAACAAAATCGATATTATATGGCATGAAGATGAGCAAAATGTAAGTCCTGACGTAATAAGAATTAGCTAACTAATTAGCTATAGCAACTTCGTAATTCATTTGGTCACGAATTTATTGACAAAATAGTTGAGTTAAATGAAAGGATAAATTTTTAGATGTTATTAAAGTTATATCAATAGAATTTAAAAACAATATAGAGAAATTAAAACTATTAAAGAACTTTTACCCCAAATAGAAGGAATATCGCAAGCTTCAAATTACATAAAATAATTACAAAAAAACCGATATTTTAATACGGTTTTTTTGTGTTTTTTTCAAATCTAGTCCTCGGTTTAAGGGCCGTAAAACGTAAAACACACAATACGTAAAACTCAGAAACATTGACTTATATATCTTCTGAGTTTTACTGTTTCAAGAAATTTTGATAGAGGGAGGGGTTAACTCCTAAAAGCAACTCAGTCTTTTATCAAGATAATTTCGTAATGCTGAATTTAAAATTATTTTTATTTGTTAATTCATAATTACTTATAATGTATTTAATTGAATATTGAAATAATACGAATATTAAAAATAGATAATTAAAAAAACGTCTCTTATATAATGAGCTCTCCTCTCATGGAGCGCTACTTGGTACTGACTGTTTATAATCCATACGAGAACGTTCAACTGCTTTTCATATTTCCCTCCTAACCAAGAATCCTATCGATCTCAGATAAGTTATCACGTGTATGTCGAGTCGGATCGAAAAGCAATAACCAAAACAACACACGTATCAGTAAAGCAAAAATGAAACTGTTAAAATCGATTGATCTGCCTAGAAAGGCACAAGTGACACGTGGTGAAAAGTGCTTGTGCTGGCCGTCCAGGCCCTGCTGCACGTTCCCTTTGGTGTTTCAGGAGGCCTGCGCGTCGGCCCCCGGCCCGGCGCTGCCTCCCGCCCTCGGCATCGCCATCTCGCCGCCCGGCACCGGCGCCCCCGCGCCCGCGCCCGCCGCGCCGCCACCACGGTGCGCCGCCTCCGCCGCCGACGCCAGGCGCCGACGCGGCCGCCGCCGCCGCGGGAGAAGCCCCCGCCGAGGAGCCCGCGCCCGCCGCCGACGCCGACCACGAGGTACGCTTCGGGTGGGAGCGAACGAGGATATGACGGAGTTAAAAAAGTCGGAAAGAAAGAAGAGAAACAAATATAAAACAGACAAGATGCAAAATGTTCTTTTTCATATGTTTTATCCCTTATCGTTCCCTCCTTTATCATTTTTTTCATTTATCGTCTTCTGCTCCGTCCCCTTTCCTCCTTCGTCGTCTTCTCTTCTTTCTTATTCTTATTCTTATTCTTATTCTTTTTCTTCTCTTCTTCGTCTATTTTTCTTCGTCTTCTTAGTCTTTGCCTTCATTCTTCTTTTTCTGCTTCATCTTTCTTCTTCCTTTTCTTCTTTTTCTCTTTGTTTTCTGTTTTTATTCAGTTATCTTATGGTACTATTTGTTTTGTCTCTTTTCTTCTTTGGTTCTGCAGCCTGCAGAAAAAGCCACGAATTTTTCAAAAGCTGACTTATATTATCCACCTCTCTATCATCATTTTCTTCAAATCTTCAAACATCTCGTAGGTCTATTGTCATGTTAAAAAATTGTAATCTCTCCTCTGGGAGGATTAGAGGCCACTTCAAGGAGAAGAAATATGATTGTATTTGTTATGGGTATGTGATGGGGGCTGAGAGTGCGTATACTACCCTCTAAGTCTGCGATGGGGACATTCTGATCCTTCCTCTTCTTTCTCGCTCAGCTTATCGCCCTCGTCATCTTTACTTCTCCTCTATCGTCTTTAAAACAAGTCTTCTCTTTGTGTCTTTTATTTTGATATTTCACATTGTACTAAGGGTATCACCTTCCTACATCTCATTTTCCCTTTCCATTTCTTCTCTCTTTTTGACTTTTCTACTCTCACTTTGTCTTCTCTTTTCTACTTTATCTCTGACTGTAAGTTACCTGTAAGTACTTTCTTCCTTTCCTTTCGCCCTTTCTCTTTCAATGTGTCTTTCCACCTTCATTTCTTTTCTCTCGAATTACACTCGTGGAATCAATAACTAAACTGCATTTCGACTGTTTGTGCCTAAAAACGAAGCGAGCTGCACAAGGGAACTCACGGCGCCCTCTGTTGCGCAGGAGCCCGCACCCACGACCCCGGTGAGCGCCCTGTCACGCCTGCGCAACAGGCCACGGCTGCACGTGACCCCGCGCGCCCCGGCCGCCGCCCCCGCCAGCGGCGCTGACAACGGCAACGGCAACGGGAACGGCGCGCGGCGGCCCGCCGGCCTGCTGCCCCGCCGCCGCCCCGGCAAGCCCACCCCCGCGCCCGTGGAGGAGCACGCCGACGAAGGTGAGGCTTCGATTTAGATTTAGATTTAGATTTATTCAGTCAAGAAAGAAAAAAATAAGAGTAAAAACTGTATGTGACGTAAGTGGGGGAAAAAGATTATCTGCGCACGTTTTCTTGAGTTCCAGAATACCTTCTCGTCATTTTAGCTATAAATAGGGGCTGGCGGTTCTGTGGTTAGGCGGAAGAACGGGCCTGATGGCCCGAGTCCCGCCATATTAATAAAGGATTATTAATAGGATTATTATTATTATTATTATTATTATTATTATTATTATTATTATTATTATTATTATTATTATAGTTGAAAGATGAGGAAAAGTTTAACATAAATAAAAGCAATCGCAAGATTAGCAATATTTGAAAAATAGTCATGCACTCCGGTGTTACGTTCAGACTGAGACGAAGATAGGAACATGCCATTCAGAAATGAGTTAAGCCACTAGTATAATTAAGATGACGAAATATGTTGCGATACTAGTATCGATACATATTAAATCATAAGATTATCGATATCTCGTTGTTTTCGAAGTGGAATTTATAGTAGAAATGGAAGAGAGAGTATATCTGGAGTGCCTCTGTATATATGTTGTATACATTTTTGGATAGCTTGAATACCAAACGATATCGATGCACAATTTAAAATAAAAGTAAGAATTTCAAGGTGTGTTATCACTATCATTTATTCGTGAATCTATTATATTACCGCTATTATCCATGGGTTACTACCAA